GAGCTCTTCAGAAACTGGAGAAGGACAAGCTTCCTTGTCTCTGAGCCTATTGGCTCTGGGATGGACATGTGTTGTTTGTTTAGAATTATCTTCTGGTTGCTTCTTCTCCTTCTTCTTCTTCTTCTTCTTCTTCTTCTTCTTCTTCTTCTTCTTCTTCTTCTTCTTCTTCTTCTTCTTCTTCTTCTTCTTCTTCTTCTTCTTCTTCTTCTTCTTCTTCTTCTTCTTCTTCTTCTTCTTTTCTTCTTCTTCTTCTTTTTGCTGTAGGTTAATGTGCTCATTGGAGAGACGAAGACAGTGAGAGGAAAAGTGAGAAGTCATTCTATAGGGGGGATGGCCACAGTGCAGTCCCTTCTCCTCGACTCTCCTCCTAGGATTTGAGGAATACATGAACACGTGCCTGGGGTGAGTTTCAAGCCACCAGGTCTAGGACTTAGGGTTCTGGGAGTCCAGCACCTTAACCACCATGAGACTTGCTGGCCTCCTGGTTGCCACTCTTCAAGTGGATTGTCTAGAGAAAGGCAAGGAGCCATTCCTGATCTGATTGGAGACTGGCACGTATGAGACACACCATTTTTCAGGTGCATGTGTGTTTTCTCTCTCTTGAGAAAATGACCACCTTACTGTTTTCTTCCATCTGTCAGAGAATCTTTCTTCAAGGCTTAGTGTAAATGCTGCTTCCTTCTTCAAGTCTTTTCTGATTTCCTGCCCCTTTTCTGCCTCTTTCTCATTGTGCTGCGTCCTCCCTCTACTGAATCTGCAGACACATGGCTTCTCCCTCTTCTGGTTATGACACCATTTCCTGACAATTTCTTACATCTCTCTTTGATTTTTTAGTAAATGACTGAGAGTAGGTGTTCAACAGTAGCTGAATTCATTTCTTCTTTTCTGTGAATTAGCAGTTCTATCTAAATCAGCCCTGCTCAGGCATATGGTCATGGGTGATGGGGACAGCCTTGACAGATTTTCCCTTACAGACAATGTCACCTGCCACCGAGTCCTGTCAATTCTTCATGTTACCAAGTGTCCCTCACCCACATTTACTCAAGTTCTGCATTTCTGTGAGGTCACTCTGTGCTTTATTAGTCAAAAAGGGGCTCAGCCCTTATCTCATGGTTGGTGGGAAATCCAATGTCATGCTTCTCAGACCTTGGGGAATTTTGGGCGATCTTATCTTTCTCCTCGTACCGATGGTCAATCTTACTCTCGTGCCTATTTGCTAGAGAAACTGTGTGTTCCCTGAAGGACCGTTACAAAGAATTGTGTGCCATGAAATTTTCTTAGTGATTTGGGAGTTATGGAAGAATATTCTGTTGCAAAACTGCATAGCAAACAACTTCAGTTTGAATGTCATTCATTTTTTATATTTTTTTCTGAGAAATTTCTTTTTAAATTTTAAAGATCTTCTTATTTTGGAATAATTCCAGACTCCAAAAAACTGCAAAAGTAGTTTAAAATATTTCCATGAACCCTTCACTCAGATTCCCCAAATGTTAATATCGTATACAACCACAGCGTAACGATAAAAACCAGGCAATTAACACCGATATCATGCTATTATCTAAACGGTAAACCTTATTTAAAAATTTCCATTTGTCTTATTCATGTCTTTAGTGTGGTCCAGGATTGAATCCAGAATCACATGTTGTATTTTGTTGTCAGGACCTCCTCAGTTTACTTTAATTAGTCTTTCTTGATATTTTATGATCTTGACACTTTTGAAGAGTTCTGGTCAGCTGTTTTTTAGAATCCCCCTTTATTTGAGTTCATGTGAAATTTCCCTATGATTAATTCAGGTTATGCGTTTTTGGCAAAGGTGCTGCAGAAGTAATATTATGTCCATCTCAGTGCTTCTGATCATGACAAAGGTGATGTCGAGTTGGCCCTTTGCTGATGATACTAACTTTGATTATTTGGTTAGACTGTGCCTACCAGGTTACTCTACCAGAAGGTTCCTGTCCCCTTCCCCCCTGCCCAGTACTTAAGATATCGCCTGCAGATGAACACTTTGAGATTATGTAAATATTCAACTTCTCTTCATATTTTTTCCACTATTTTTAGCATTTGTGGATGACTGTTGACTTAATTTTTTTAAATGGTATTTGCAAAGCAATGAGTTTCTATTTCCATCATTCCTTCTATTTTTATTAGTTGGAATCTTATTGTAAGGAAGAACTTACCTTCTTCCCCATTTATTTATTTATCTATTTAATTAAAAAAATTTTATATTACATTTAATCACATATATCTTTACAGTGTATTAAATTTCTTTTCCCAGCATTTTTGCTACGCATATCAGTTAAGACAAAGACATTATTACATTCACATCATCATCAAATAGCTTCTCATCATTTGTTTTCAGATTATTATTATTACTATTTATTCTCATTATTTTTCAAACATTCAATCACTATATGTCATTTGGCTTGTAAAGAGAATTTACCCACCATGAAATACTTCTCAGATCAATCCAACTGTGAATACTATGCATATTATCATCAACGGGTAATAAACCACTTCTGTGCCCTACTAATGTCATCCTCTCTATTTGTTCTCTTGCTATCCCTCTCTATACGCTTTTGTTCTCCCTGCACTCTTTTGCACACTGTCTTCAGCATCCATAACTATTTTCACTGTTTTTATGCCCTCCAATATTTCAATCTCTACCATAAAGTGCAGATAGTATATATTACATGGAGACATACAATATCTTTCTTTCATATCCTGGCTTGCTTCACTCAGCAATAGATCTTCTATATTCAATCACTTTCTATCAAATGTTAGGGTCTTGTTGTTTTTTATGGTTGAATAGTATTCCATAGAGTATATGTGCCATACTTTTTCCATCCATTCATCTGTTCGTGGACATTTGGATTGGTTCCATGTCTTACCAAACGTGAATAATGCTGCAATAAACATTGATGTGCAAGTGCTTTTCCAACTGAGCATTCTCCAGTCCTTTGGGCAGATTCCCAGAAGTTGGGTTGCTGTATCAAATGGTAGTTCTATTTGTAGGTCTTTGAGGAACCTCCATGTTGTTTTCCACAGTGGCTGAACCAGTTTACATTCCCACTGACTGTGTAGGAGAGTTCCCCTTTCACCACAACCCCACTAACACTTATCAAGTTTTTGTATTTTTAATCTTCACTATTCTGATAGGGGTTCGATGGTATCTTATTGTGGTTTTAATATGCATCTCCCTTATGATGAGAGGTGTTGAGCATTTTCTCATATACTTTTTGGCTGTTTGTATGTCTACCTTAGAGAGATTTTTGTTCAGCTCATTTCCTCATCTTTTAATTGGGTTAGACATTTTTTTGTTTTCAGGTAAGCCGCTTGAGTTCTTTGTGTATTCTGGTTATCAGTCCCTTATCTGAAGCATATTTTACAAAAATATTCTCCCATTCTGAAGGTTGTTGATTCACACTAATTCCCATTTATTTATTTATTCATGTTTTCATTATATGAGCCTTGGTTTGTGAGCACCTATTTTATTCTATGGATTATAATCCATTATGATTATTTGCATGTATATTGGTAAGCTGACTGGTCCAGCCCCCAACTCTGACTCCAAGTGGAAACTGGTTAGCTTGGAGCTTGTGGCACTCGGTGGTTCCCATGACAACCTTTTCTCCACCCCTTGCTCATGAGTGAAATGGTTACATGAAATAACATTGTTTTGTTGCTAACCACGGAATACCACAGATGGGTTAATTTATAAAGAATACCTAATGTTTACATCATTTAATGACAGAAAGGAAAAGACTGGATGGCATAAAGGCATGGAGAGCAATTGTAGACAGTAGAGACTGCATGGAAGGAGGGTGGACAATGGGGGGATTAGGAAGGGAGGGATCAAGGGGAAAAAAGAAGCAAAATATTTAATTCACACGAAAATGGAAACTTATCTGGTGATGATAATGTATATGGTAACATCTTTGACTGGACTAATATACAGTGTATTCATGCTAGGAAAATCCATTTTGTATGTTGTAAAGATGTAAAATAATATGAAAATAAAATAGAGAAGAAAAAGAAGAAAGGTTTATTTAGCTCACAGTTTTGGAGTTCTAAAGGTAGGGGGCTGCATCTGGTGAGGGTCTTCTTATTGGTGAGGACTCTGTAGAGTCTCAAGACAGTTCAAGACACCATGTGGTGAGAGGGGAAGAGCAAATGTAACCATATCCATCTCTGCTCTAGTCTTACTCCCCCTCCTTATAAACCCACCAGGATTCAATCATGGGAGGGGGATCCCACCCTGATGACTTTATCTAATTATAATCATCTCCCAAAGGCTCCATCTCTTAGTCTCATGGTCAGTCAAATTTCTACCCTTTGAAACAATCACAGCCAAATTTCAACATATGAACTTTTTCTGGGGGGTGGGGGAGGGCGGATGGGGGGGACACATCCAATCCATAGCAAATGAACATATCATTTTGGGGACATCAAACTGAAGCTTAATTCTAAGAGTTGATTCTAATTTCTTTTTATACAATTAGCTTCATAATCTTATTTCCCCTGGTACAGTATCTCATTCGGCTAACTCAGGCTTATGCTAGTCAGTGCAAGGCCTTTTCCTGCTGCAAGAGATTGGTTCAAGAATGAGCATGTGACCTGTATAGAGCTATTGAGGAGAGAGGGCTATGGGAAAGAAGGCTCCTCACTGGCCTGGGAGTTCCACTGAAGATGAGCCTGCCTCTCTCCAGTTGGTAGGATATAGAAAGGATCCTGGAACTGCTATAACCATTTGCCAACATGAGGAGATCTGGTACCAAAGAAAGCAGGGAAGAGGACAGAAAGCACCTGGATTTTGATGACATCATTGAGCCACTGAATTTAACTGAACCCAATGTTTACTTTTCTTGGGAACTTCCAAGATAATGAACTGATAACTCTTATCATTTAGGCCAGTTTGAACTTGTTTTCTTAAATTGCAACATAATGACCTCTGGTAATGGGGCCAGGTGGTGATGCAGCACTGACCCAACTGGACCCACAAGGGAAAGTCATGGAATTCTGTCCCGGGGCTAATCTCCGTATGCCAGGGGCCTGTGCTCACCATCCAGGTCAGATGAGACTGGGAGTGGATCATGGAGTTGAGGATACCGTTGGAGGTATTTCTCTTTCTCTCTTTCTTGGAAGAGATAAATAAATAAGCTTTAAAAAGTCTTTAAAGGGGGACTAACAGTTAACATAATGGCTATGTTGCTGAACTCCCATGTAGCTGACCATGGTTCGAGTCCCAGATCCAGTGGCTTAAACTCACGCCGGGTGTGTGTGTGTGCATGCCTAAGATCCCTAGAGCAGAATGGAGGAGAAGGGGTTGCGGTGTGGCCATCCCCCCTGGGGGGTGATTTCTTGCTTTCTGCTCTCTGTCTCTCTCTGTCTTTCTGGTGAGCGCACACGTCCTATAGCAAAACAAAACAAAACAAAACAAAACAAAACAAAAACCTCTCCAGAAAAAGTCTTTAAAGGTTTCTGTCAGGATCAGGATCCACTGAACTCTCTGCTATCCTGGTTCCTCTCTCTAGGCTTTCTGCATGTCCCTCTGTCTCATCAAAGAGGCATGAAGCTTCTCCATTCACTGGTGCAGCACTGACCTGAACATGTTGGGAGCTTTGGAATCAGACATGTGTGGGTGTTCAAATGCTATAAATGTCCTTAGAAGTTGGGGGACTTTGGACAAGTTATCTAACCTCTCTAAATTTAAGTTTCATTTTCTGAAAAATGAGACAACAAAATCAACCCCTCCCTCTCAGGGTTCTTGAGAATGAGACAATGCATATAAAACCCAGGGTGTGGTAGGACCATACGTAAGTGCTTCACTTCCTTCTGCTCTCGCCTCTGCACCACAGAGAGTACTTCCCGTGTGTTGGCCTGAAAGGACACTCAGGCCCTCCAGATGTCAGCTTCTTAGACTTAGAATCCCAAAAATTTCTTGAGAGGAAAATAAATCCCCAATTGCCAGAGAAGATGAACAGCTCAGCCATTTGCTAAAGCAAATATTAGTTCAGTGTTGTCCAGGGAGAGCAAGCAGCTCTAAGAACTGTTTGTATTTTGTATTCTTCAAGGAGTAGATGAATATGCTGCTGAAGACAAACATCTTGCTGGGGGAGGACTTGAGGAGGGGCATTTGCCCTGAGAGCTGTCCACCCCACCTGACCTCCTGGCTTCCTCACCTGGCCTCCTATTCTCCTGAGGGCATCATTTATCTGGCGTTTGTTGCATTTATCCCATCTCTGCTCTCTCTATGTCTGTATGGGCTCATGCTCTGGCTCAGGACCACTCACGCCTAGGACCTAGAGTCGGCTTTTCTTGACCTACCCTATATCCAGTGGCTTGGTGATGGAGCCACTGGTCAGACTGGCCTTTCATTGAGACAAATCCTGAGAATTGGCAGGGGAATCAAACTCCCACTTCTGGATGTTTATGGCAGATATTTTAGCTCAGCATTCTAGCTCAGCACTGGTGACTTCTTGCACCTGGTAATTCTTCATTGTGAGGAACTGTCTTGCACACAGTAAGAAGTTTGACAGCATCCGCTAGATAGCAGTAACACACTCCTTTCCCAGCTATACTAACAAGAGATATCTCTAGCTAATGCTGAGTGTCCCCTGGGGAGAATCACTGTTCTGACAGAAGGCAGGGGAGAAGGTTGGCGTTGGCTATATCTGGGCCTTATCCCTCACCAACTATGATATTTGCTGGTTAACTTAACCTCTCTGAGCCTCAACTGTGCTCCTGTGAAATGGGAACCATGATGGTACAGTTGCACAGGATGGTTGTGAGAGTAAGATTAGGTCATTTATAGGGAAGTGTCTGCTCCCTGCCTTCTGGGTGCATGATAAATTGTTTGTGTATATTTTAAACCCCACAAGGGCAGGGATCATGCCCATTTGTTCACCACTGTGTCCCCAGCAACCAGCATGGGACCTGGACACAGTTGGTGTTCAAGAGGGCAGTGATGTTCTTGGGCTGCTCGGGATTTCATGGAACTTAGACTTTTATTTCCACTTTGCACTCTTGATGAAAATCTCTTTAGCTTCTGGCCTCCTCAGGGGAGGAAATCCTTGTCAATCGGGGTTTTATATACTGATTTGAAGCTCTCTGTTTCTTCCTTGTCCTTCCTAGAATTCCATACTCTGGGAAGCCTGCTCACATCCTGGCCTGTTCTCACTATCCTGGAGTCAGAGTAATGTTAGCAACTCCAGGAGCATCTGTCTCCACACTCTTATTGCTGACTCAAATGCATCCTCCAGGTCATGGCTGATTGGCAGAGCAGATATGATTGACATATCTTGGACCCAATGAAAGATCAAGTCCTTTTACATGCAAAGGACCAGTTCTGCCACCTTATGAGGTCCCTATGGATGTCATGCAAGCACCCACACTGGTGGACTACCTATCATTTCTATCATTGAAAAGCTAGTTTAAGAAGTATAATCATATTCTCAGAATTACTTCTTTTGAAGGAAGAAGAACTTTTTACCCATCTAGACATATACTAGATATTGCGAGACTTTGGAGGACAAGTTTTACCCTAGAAAGGGCTGACAATTAATTAGCCAAGTCAATACTAACAAAGTGACAATTAAAGAACATGTGACCTGTAAAATGACAACAGGAAGTTGTTCGTGGTTGTGGAGAAGCTACTCAGGTCCTGTCCTGTCTTTCTACTCCACACTTCTCACCACCAACACCCTGGTTTTAGGCTTCACTGTCTCTGACTTGGAATTTTCCATTTGGCTCCAATCATTCCCCCTGCTTCCATATTCCTTGAATCTGCCCCTGCAGAGACACCAGGGTGATTTTTCTAAAATGCTGATATCATTATATCACAGCATGCCTGGAACCTGTTCATCATGGCCTTATCTGTAATCATGGAATATTTGGGGAATGGTTAAATAAATGGTGGTACATATGAGGGAATATTTTATAGTCATTAAAACTCATGATTTTAAAGATTACTTAAAGTCATGGAAAAATACTCCTAATGTGATGAGAAAAAAATAACTGAATTCAAAATTGTTTGGCATGATACAGATATAGTAAGTATATATATATGTATATAATTGCAAGACTGGATTTATATATATCTGGAGAAAAGTAACAGTAGTTATTTTTAGTTGGTGAGTACAGAATATTTTTTCACTTCCTCTCGATTATGAACTTTATGAGGTTAGAGACTGTCTATCTTGCTTATCATTAAAGTCCAATGCTACTGGAGTATTTGCCGTATAATAGGCAGGTGCTCAAAATGTTGGATGGGGGTACTGAATTTTTTTTAATGCCACAGGGCACATGTGCATGCATGAGAAATAGAGGGAGAGAAAGAAAGAAAGAGATAAACACACATGCACACACACACACACACACACACACACACACACAGACACACATAGAAAACCCCTAGTGGGGTGTAGTAATGCTGCAATCCTTTTTTCTCCACTCCTCCATCCCATCAGCATCCTGGGTATGGGCACATGCTGGGCATGTTTTTTAAACCACTGGGTCAGGATTCACAACTTGGTTGGCCATGTGAGCTCCATTCCCTTTGCACAGCATCTAACCATTATGCTCAGGGGCCATCTCAAGTGTGGTTCTTACAACTGGCAATTTTTTTTCTTTAATTTTTAAATTTCAACTTGTTTTATACATTCGATCACATGTTAAGTTTGCCAGAGGATGTGTGTGCTCATCAGAGAAAGAAAGAAATTGAGAAAGCACCCCCTAAAGGGGATTGTATTGCTGCAATCCCTTCTCCATTTCTCCCTCCTTTCAGGGTTTTGAGCACACACACACACACACACACACACACACACTCGCGCGTGCACGCACACTTCTGGTGTCTCTCAAGCTGCTGGGTCTGGGACTTGAACAATGTGGTCGGCTATGTGGAATCCAGCAGCGTTAACCAGCACACCACCTGCTGACTCACAATTGCCAAATTTTGTCCAAAAACATTGGCTTAGGTGGAGGGGGTCAAGGTACTGCAAGACTCGCCCTCCAGTTCCTGCTTATTGTGGCCACAGGGAGCACCAGCCAGAGTAGGGCAGTGTTTGCGGCAGGATAGTCATCTTAAAACAGAAGGTAGAACCAAGAAGACAGAATCTACTACAAACATGGTTGTTGAGAAATAATAAGAAAACTGTTTTTAGAAGGCTAATGTAATTATGAATGGCTCAATCTCTCCGAGCCTCAGTAACTTCATGTTTGAAGTGGGGACTGTAATACCTCCTTGGCTTCACTCTTAGGGTTTCATGGGACTGTGTTGGGATATTTCTGTGTGTTACAGACTAAATGTCTGCGTCCTACCCAAATCCAGATGTTGAAGCCTTAACCCCCCAATGGGACTATGTTTGGAGGTCATGAGGAGGTGATAAAGGTGGAATGAAGCCATAAGGTGGAATGAGGCTCTAATCTGATAGGGTGGGTGCCCTTATAAGAAGATGAAGAGAAACCAGAACTCCCTCTGTTGTCTCCTCCCTCCAGCTATGAGACATACGGCAAGGTGGTGGCCACCAGCAAGGGTAATTCTTTGGGTCTGGGAAGAGGGTTCACAGAGTGACATTACCCATATTTAGGCTCACTCCTTTCAAACCCTGACTCTCTGTCTTTTAATTAAGTGTGTGGGTCTGCCTCTCTTGTCAGAAGGTGTTGTTTAGCAGGACACTTCTTCATCCCTGTATAAATGAATGTGTGAGACCTTCAGACTGGCCCAGATATGACTAAATAATAAACTGAATCTAACTTAGGCCAAAACTGGGGCATCTCCTCTATAATGCATTATCATGCATGTACCATCTGGTTGAGCCTGTGAGCTCTTGAGTTATTTACAGACCTCCTTACTATTTGACTTTAGTAAACTACTTAACCTCTACGTGTAAAATGGGAATGATAGTAGAACTTTTCTCATTGGGTGGTGAGGATTACAAGCAACATTGCATGCAAAATACTGACCAGGTGCCAGGCAGGTAATAAACTTTCCACACATTTTAACTGCTGTTAAAAAAATAACATTATTGTTGTTTATGATTGTTATTGAGGAGAGAATACCAGTTTCCAACCAGAGGCTCAGGCCATCAGAATTATTGCTGAGCTGGTACTGGTAAAA